ATGAGCATAGTTAGCCCGACGTGCAAGCGCATCAGTGGCCACCGGCATTGCGGCGACGTCGCCAGCTCTGGACTCGATGCAATCCTGGTAGCCATGCGTTTCTACGAAAATATTCAGGCGCGAAAATAACGGCGGAGCTCACCAAGGCAGAGGTGGACGCCGGTCAGAAACCGACAACTTGGCCTGGAGGGAGTATAAAAGACGAACCCTTGAAGTGAAAAGATCATACGCACACTCAGCACATTCGAACACCCGCTCGCATAGACTTCACATCCGGTCACATATTCACCATGTTTGCCAAAGCGCTCCTCACCATTGCTCTCTCCTCCCTCGCGGTTGGACAATTCTACGCCGCCGCTGCGAGTGTTGTCAGGTCCGGCGGATCTGGAAATATCTGCCCCAACTGCGTCAATGTAAGTGGAGCGTTTGATGAAAGAATCCCTGTTCATCAGGACGCACGATTTGGTTTGTAGCCAAAAATTGTCGATGTTCGCAGCGCTGCCCTTGAAGCTTCCGTTCCGTGGCCCGTGTTGACGGAGCCGGAAATATGTGTCCCGACTGCCTCAACGTGAGTCTGCGAGCGATTCATCAAGGGATGCCCACTGATCAGGACACCGTTTTGCTTCGTAGCCAAAAATCACCGAGGTTCCCAGCGCTGCCCCTGAAGATTCCGCTCCCGAGGAGGGTGTTGCTGCCAGGAATGACGGATCCGGAAATATCTGTCCCAACTGCGTCAACGTGAGTCTGCGAACGGTTCATCAAGGGATGCCCACTGATCAGGACGCATGGCATTGCTTGGTAGCCAAAAGTCACCGAGGCTCGCAGCGTTGCCCTTGAAGACTCCGTTCTCGTTGACGGTGTTGACGCCAGGTTTGACGTATCCGGAAATACCTGTCTTGACTGTGACAATGTCAGTAATAGTACGCGGAGCTAGCAACCGGCTGATCGGCATCGGTCGGCATCGCGTTTCGGTGGCATCCATTGCCGAGGTAAAGGATCCCAATGGAATCCACCAGCCCACGGTGCGGTCTATCAGGCATATTGGATCTCACCGTATATCAGTGGACCATCCTTCGAAGGTTTGTCCATTGGTTAATGCCAATTCCCACTGCATTCCAATGTAATTTGGCACGTTGGCGGCTTGTTCAATGCGCTGAACTGTATCACAGTCCAGTGGATTTTAATGGATCTAGGTTGTGCCCATCCCACTGGTTTCCTGCCATCTCCAATGTACACCGTTCATTTCCAATGGCCCACAATGGCCCACATCTGCAACAGAAAACCAGCGGTTGCCACTGGTTTCCGGCGTGAATCGTTGAAATCCAGTGACTCACCCAGGTAAAGGGACCGCCCAGACGCATAAGGGTCCTTTGATTTGATAAGAATTGAAACAATCATCGTGGGCTACAGCGTAGTGAGGTCTGAAAGGTCACTTTATTAGATGGTTCAGATCTATGCCTGCATCAAACATCGCTGAAGAATGGAAGACAGTTCATGCAAATTTATTATAGTGCCCAGTGCCGCTCACTTGGAAACCACGTGTATTACCTTTGTTGTTACTTAGAGGATGGTAACATGAGTTCAGAGGCTTCCCAGGAACTGCTCGCCTATTTTCCATCACGAGTTGGACTTCAGCCGCCAACTAACTTTGCCCTCCTGCCTTCAGATGAAACTCAAAGTTCGGTTTCCTTCCCTGATAAGTTACACCCATTAGATTTGTATCACACTAGCCGATGATTTTTCAGTGACTTGAGATACATTTGGGTAATAAGCTTTATTAATCTCCCGTCGCCTCCGCCCAAAATGCTTCTGTGAGGCCCAAATCCTTTTTCTGAACTCGTTGTTCCACTCTTTCCGTATAAATCATCATCACAGCGTGGATGAAGCAGTCGTAGTTCACCTCCGACATCTGCCGCAGCTGTGACTCGAAGCCGTTGAGCCAAGAGTTCAGTTGCTCGGCGATTCTGTGTTGAATTTGCGTCCTCCTGTATGATAATGAGATCAGGTTGGGAACCATTAAGCGGCGCTGGATTGCACCACAGTCGGCAGAGGATATCTGTCGCGCGGTGACCGCTGTAGTGCCAGGCATCCACGATGAATTTCGTGGTAGCAATCCACGGACTGTTAGGCTTCTGGGTGACGATGTGTCGCAGCAGGCTACAGGCGTCGTCATCGGCGATGAAACTGGGTTTGGATTGGGGGTAGTTGCTCCAGATATATTTGGAGGACCTGAGGAGAGCTCTCAGAGCGGCAACACTTACCCCAGCCAACGGGATATCTGCATGCCCATTGAACGGTCTGTAAGCAGTAAATTGTCTTTGCCTTGAACGTGCGAGCAACCTGCTCGCCAGGAGTATCTCCTAGTGCAGGCAACTCGACGCGAAATTCAGGTCCCGATCTACTGGCTTCCTCCTGTTGCCGAATCGGGGATACCGGATACCACTTCCTGGATTTTGCTATGAAAAAACTGAGCGAAACGCTCGCGCTGGGCAGCCGAGACGTTCCTGTGCATTGGGTCATGCGCCGCGCGATCGTTCACAATATCCAGAGGAATGTCGGAGCCCGCTCCAGTGAACACCTGTGAGCGTTGATCAAAACCGTAACAGAGAGTGCAAAAATAAGACATACCTTCGGGCCATCCATTTTCTCGTCCTGTCCGAGCGATTTAGGATCAGAGAACAGAAAGATAATCATGAAACACACCTTTAATCCCGCCGCCTCCGCCCGTTTGTGCTCCTACATGAGATTAGGATTATGAGCACGACCGAGTAATATAATGAAAGTATGCACCTTAGGATTCTCCGTGTGCCCCTGCGCGCGAATTGAATCAGAACAAGAAGCACAACTTAAAATGAACTGGCGGTACTCACCTCATGGCCGTCGGTTTGGCTCCGCCAGTCAGTTGGTCCCAGAATATGTCACATTCGAAGGTTGCTTCGTCCGATGTACGAAGGGTATACTCGTTCATAGCATTCACCTTTAAAGCGCTCGCGGAACCGTCCAAAAGAGCGTCGATTTTACCGAGGTGGTGGTGCTGAGGGTCATCACGTATATTGGGGCGGTAGAGACGTCCGCTGCGCTCTAGAGAAATCTCGTCAATCAAACATGAAATGGGATTTGAGTCGCAGCTACCTTTGATTGGAGAATCATTCTGGATTGCAGCAGGGATGAGCTGCGACAGCAAAGCAGAGTACTTCTTGCCGCCGTTCGCGGTGGTCGAGAGTTGGACGGGGAAGTCGTCGACAATCACCTGGCAAAGGGTCTTCTTGTGGTCGAGTTCGTCGTAGAAATTGACGTGAACAATGCCTGCAGGGATCGATTTAACTAGTATGACAGAAACACACGCTGACTTTCATGTGGGGGTACCAGCGGGGTCAATGGTCTTCGCCAGCTTCTCGAGCCCACTTTTTTCTTCCTCCTCACGATGTTCTCCCTCCTCCGCCTCCGCGCCCCCCTTGCCCTGCGCGCCCTGCGCTCGCCCTTTGCTGCCGTTGCGGGCGCTCCGCTGCATGTGCTGTCCACCGAGGCCCCCGCCGCCGCCGCCGAGAAGGTCAAGGGGCCGACTTATCACATCTGGTAGTGTGCGGAGAGGGTGTACATCTCCGCCGCGAGCTGTAGTCTCTTCTCATTGTTTAGCATGCCGGCGCGCGGACGTTCGGCCCACTGGCACGCCACGACTCAGTCACTGACGTGTCCCCCCGCCGTCGCGATCCCCCAACGGTTGTGTACTCGCGCCTCCCCACCCACTAACCCTCCCTCTTCTCCGCGGGGCATCTGTTGGGCCTCGGCGTCCCGTCTACTTCACGCAACGGCAGCGCTCAGCGTGCTGCTCAGACTCTAGCACTGATCCTGCGCTGGTGCGTGCCGCTCTCCGCACGCCTCCTCATGTGCGCTCGGCCCGCCCCGGTCGCACTTTCCCTTCCCTTGTCTCGTTCCCCCGAGGCTGCGCGCTCCCTCCCTCCCTTGCGTGTCGGCGCACGACTCGCAGAGACGCAGTGCCGTCGCGGAGGTATGCCCAGAGGGCTGCAACGTACCCACTCGTGTACAGTAGTATGTACATACTGTACATGCACGTCGACATGAAATCAATGCATTCCCTCACCTTCTCACACAACCGACCGCGACCGCGCTAATCGTCCGACCGCGCACCTGCCCAGATCGTCCCGCGCGACCTGAATCAGTGCGGCAAGATCCGGTAAGGCGAGAGGCCGCACGCACGCACCGGGTTCGTGCACCTTCGCGGCGGATCTTACTTTGTGCGGGTCTCGAAAGGCGAAGCCTATGACTCGGGCCTGGTTGAATAGGCACCTCCCGCGTTAGAAGAGCCCCAAATCATACAGTTTGTGCAGATGGGGACTACCCGCTACCGAGTCAGTTACCACCTCTCATCTGCACTTAAAACATAGAGCTTTTGTGAGAACACAAGGTCACTTCCGTGGAATATCATGCACACCAAGAAGATTATGCAGATGCGGAGCATCCACGACAGAGTCATAAAATGGGTGATGTGTGCTGGCTAAGTCGCTCTGTGGAGACCTCTGAGCAAATTGACTGGCCCGGACAGATGAAAAAGCGAAGGAAGGCCTAATGACTGGGGCCTGAGTCGAACAGGGATTTGGATGGAAGCCTTCCTAGTTGGATACCGAGTCATACAAATCTGTAACCCGCGCTGTCGAAAGCCACACAAATGTTTCCGCCAGACGTTCCACACGACCCCCCGAAAAAAAGGGATGAACTCACGTCCCATGCCTCGGGCCCGAGTCAGACAGGCGATTTCAGCACAGGTTCTTCCTTGATTATGCGGACACGGACCATCCGCTACCAAGTCGTACGTAACTTTCATGCGCAATTCATAAATAAATCCCTTGTGAGCTTTCAGACGTCCACCCGCCACCGAGTCTGTATCTACCTCTGATCTGCATTTGATCAAATAGATGAATCCCTCGTGTGCGAAATGAGTCCGGGGACAATGGAGAAAAAATAGAGAGGGGAGGAAGTAATGACTCGGGCCTGAGTCGAACAGGCAACTTCCGCAAAAGCATCAAACCACCCGGCTACCTCGTGCAGATGCGGACCATCCGCTACCGAGTCTGTAGTCGGCTTGAAATAAATCAACCTTTCATATGAGAAAGTAGGCAAGGGATGATTTTCAAAAAAGTCTGAGTGAGTGACTCGGGCCTGACTCGAACAGGCGCCATCTGCGGAACTATAAGTACCGTGGAATAAATCATCGTGAGCAGACGCGGACCTCCGCCACTGAGTCGGTACTGAGCTCTTGTGTGCCATCAATACATGAGAGCGGGATACACCGGGGTCGGACCCACAGTGCTCCGGACGACAAGGTGACCTTCCCCCCGGAGATGCTCCAGGCTCCCATTCACCGTGGAAGCGGGCTATACATGAATTCAGAGGCGCTTAACAGCGGAAATGACAGACCAAAAGAGAACAGAAACAGGCAAGTTCTGCAGCAGCATATGGCGAGTGTACCATCTTGCGTAGATGCGGACACGGCGGACAATAGCTTGTCCTTTGCGAATTTGGGACAGCGTGTCCTCGCGCACGCCTCGACGATGTCCTTTTACAAACTCCGGCCGCTTTGGCCTTTCGGGCTTTCCCGCGGCCACTGCAGCCTCGCGACTCAAACAAAGCGTCAAGGACTTAATTCAAAGCAGATTTTTATTAATTAAATAGAATTGTATTTGCTTGCTACAAGGGAGAAAGCTGAGTGCAAGACTGAAGCAAAGGGAATAATGATAAGGACCTCGTGCTGCTCGCAAAGCGCCGATCAAAGAGACCAGATTTGGTCTGCAGCTGGTAAGCAGGCGCATCTTGCCAGCGCGTCGGGGAGCGCCATGAGCGCCTCCCGACTACGATACAGTTTCACAGTCCGCGCACGGTAGCGAACTGACCTTTCGAGACGAATTAAAGTACAAGGGACGGTTCGCGGATCAAAGATTTAATCTCTAATCACATCAATTTCTTTGACAAGCACAAAGCTGGTGCGATCCTCACCTTGTGCGACTCGAGTGGCTTCCGTTATTCATCGAAATGGATGTGGATCCACAGGGTAGGAAGAACTATGTGTTGTGTCTCTGCCGCTCTCACGACTGTTGTAACCAAACCTGGCTCGCGACCGATGGGTCGACAAAGAAAGGGGTATGGTACTCGAAGGGTACCATAAAGACCCACAGTAGGGAAGACACCAAGATGGTGGCGTCTGGTCACTTGCCAGCGGTAAGACCCTGCGTGCTTTCAGCAAACGGGATACTGATTTGCATTCAGATTCAGACTCACAAAGCGGCAGACGCGGCAAAACCACCCGCGTCGGAGGATAAGCGCCCCAGGGGCGTGCGTGATGAGGAAGACGTAGAAGAGGAAGATACAAATTAGTTGGGTGACTGTCTTGAGTGCAAGGTGTTGATTTGTTCTCTATTTCAGGCCCCGCAACCACCCGTCGTCGTCTTACTTTCGTGGCTTGCACACTCGTGTCTTGGCTGCATATTGTATGCGGTCTCAGCCGAGAGGCCAGCAGCGCAGTGCTCGCAGTCTTCAGTATCATGATCACTATGTCCACCACATCAGACGCCAGACATAAAATTCCAAAAGATGTACGCACCGCGGTGAAGTACCTCTCCATCGACCCAGTCATTGAACGGACGATCTGCTGTCCAAAATGCTTTCGGGCGTATTCATTCAACGAACTACCACAAATTTGCCTTGCTCGACAGACCAGTAATTCGCGGCCGTGCAACACTCCTCTCTGGGTGGAACGACAAACTCGTGCAGGCCCTAAAATTGTCCCCCGACGTCTATATTCCTCGCAAAACTTCCAGAGCTGGCTCGCACATTTTCTGTCCCGGCCTGGGATGGAGGACCTTCTTCGGAAATCCCATCTCCACTGACCAAATCCAGACATGATGACGTCCATTTGGGATGGCCCAGCGTGGCAGAGTCTGGGGACCTTCACATCGGAGCCCAAGAATCTTGTATTCAGCTTCTACATCGACTGGTTTAACCCCTTCATGAACAAAATCGCTGGGAAGTCGGCGTCCTGCGGAGCTATCATCGCATCTGTCTCAATCTTCCCTACGAGATGTCGCACCTCGAGGAAATGGCATTCTTCGTTGGCATAACACCTCCGCCCAAAGAACCCACAGTCACGACGATAACCGCACTCCTGGAGCCAGCTATGAACCAGTTTCAGGAGATGTGGACTGGGAAGAACGTGCCGACATACAACCACCCCGACGGCGATTTCTACCGGGCGGCAGTCCTTGCTGCGATTGGCGATCTCTTGGCTCTCAAAAAGGCGCTAGGCGCAGCGGGTTACGGGTCCCACCACTTTTGTTCCTATTGCAAACTCAAGCGCGTCGACATTGATCACCTAGATCTCGAAAACTTTGTGCCACGTGTCGGGTGGGAGGTCCTCCGTGCGGCTACCGATTGGCTGAATGCCAAGACACAAAAAGATCGTAAAGCCATTTTCGTGGAGCATGGCACTCGCGGGTCAGCTTTAAACATCCTGACATACCGCGATCCAGTGAAGCACACAGTGTTGAGACCTATGCACAACTGGATCGAAGGTATTCTGCAGCACCACTGCCGTCTCAAATGGGGGATTGGCTCGGACTTCGCAAAAGCGGGGAGCAGCGCTGGCGCGTTCGAAACGGCATCCTCCTCCGACTCCAATGTGGACATGGTGAACGTCGAGACAATGGATGTAGATGACGACGTTGCGGGCGAGCTCGAGGACCTCCATCGAGACAGTCTTTTCCAGAACGACGGCCCAGCCTCCCTCAGCCGCCATACATCGTTCTTTTTCATCCCCGAGTCTGAGGACAAGGTGGTGGGCAAGGAGGAGGAGGAGGAGGAGGAGGAGGAAGATGACGAGGAGGGCATCTACGAAAGCGAGAAGCCCTCGAAGACAATTTTCGACAGCGACTGTATGGCAATTATTCATGCGGGGCTTGCTGGCGTCGTTATACCCTCTTGGATTGACCGGCCACCCCTGAACCTCGGAGAAAAGGCACACGGAAAGCTGAAAGCCGATAATTGGCTTGTACTGTTCTCCATCTTCTTCCCCTTGATCGTTCCGGAACTCTGGTGGGGGCATACAGCGTCGAGAAGAGAAGAGAAATCGCTCCACAATTTTCACGATCTAGTTGGGGCGACAAACATCCTCTGCTCCTACACTGCGAGTCCAGCGGAGGCCGACCGGTACACCGAGATGTACCAGCGCTATCTTTACTCCTCCAAGTTGCTTTTCCCCAATCTCACGACACGTCCCAACCACCACTACGCCCTGCACAACGGGGACCAAATGAAGTGGTGGGGTCCGGTTATCATGCTCAGCGAAAACCTGTATGAAAGCCACAATGGAGCCCTGCAGAAGATCAAGACGAACAACCACATGTGTGAGTCGAAGTTCATTGCACTGTGATTGTCAACTTACCTGGAATAGGGGAACTGGACCTGACGATGCTCCGCCAAATATGTCGACGGGGAAGGCTGCTTGCCACGATCAGTGATAGCGCCAAGAGCAGTAATTCGGAGTTGCCTGTTGTCAAGGCCATGCAGGTGCTGTCCCCTCAAGTCACCGCAAACTCGTCGGGCATTCAGCAGCTTTTACCTACCGAATTCAACGGTTCTGGACTTGTAATTGACGGCTCGACGTACGAGCCGATTTTGCACTACTGGAACCACATGTACTCCCCTCCGTATATCCACGCGGCATACCTGAGGCTTGACCAGGTGGATAGTGTTGGCGTCAGCGTGCACGTCCTTCCTATTCGAGCCGTACAACTCACCGCGTTCGAGCATAAAACCTGGCCGTTCTCCGTCTTCCGGAAACATCGTGAAAACAGCTCCATTTCTTTTCGTCACCCCTTCACGGGACGGAAGGAGATGGGGTTCATCCAATCTGTATGGGCGCAGGTCCTGCAAGGAGAGAAGCGGAGTTTCTTGATCGTCCAGCCCCATACAGCCTTGACTCCAACGGATGCTATTAAAACACCCTATCACACCCTTCGACAATTTGCATGCTCTGTATCGTACACGGCGCCATCGCGTCCGCAACCTCAGCTCCTCATTGAGCCCAAGCACATCATCTCCCATGTTCCGTACTTGGAGCGGCCAAAGGGGACGTTTGGGATCCAAAATGCGACCACCATCTTTGTGGACTGCTTGAATAGGGGCCGAGATTAATGGGGAGGTGTCATGAGGTCGTCGTCCAAAATGTGGGCTGAATATGTGGGGGAGGAAGGGTGTCGTCCGAATTGGGGCAAGGAAGGGGGTAGCGTAGTTTGAATCCTGGAAAATATATTTCGTATAATATAACATGAAGGTGCAATATGCAAATGCGCCGGACGCGAAGTCGAGCAATGCAACACCAACGCGAAGTTGGAGTTGACGGTGAGAGCTGAGTAAAGATGCCGGCGCGGGCGTGTGCTTGTATTCGTCCAGCGTCTCCTTGCCCCCACCCCCACCCACAACCACCCTACACTCACTCCGCTTCAAACACGCACGCAAACTCCGCCTTAAACCCGCCTCCATCGAACACGTCGTCTTGCATGTCTGCAGTGGCATACTCGTGGAGCATCTCCGTGTCGTCAAGGTTGGTGTTGACGTCCACCGAGGTGTATTGGTCTTTGCTCCACATGATAAAGTCGGAGCAGTCATCGTGCATCGCATCGCTCATGGCTTCATCTGCATACTCCGCATAATCAGTGTCTTCATCTTCCCACGCTCCCCCACAGTACCCTCCCCAATGACGAGATCACGCGGATAATCCGGCCCCTCCCGTCCTCTCCCCACATTGCAGCTGCTGTTGCTCCCGCATCGCCACCCTCCCGGTCTCGCGCGCCTCGGTGATGGGATGCACATAATATGTATCGGCAATGAGAGCCCGCGGGTAATCCGCCCCTCGTTGTCATCACCCCGCTCTGCTGCTGCTGCTGCTCCTTTGCCCGAGCGGCCGCAGACTCTGGTGTGTGCCGTACGCATGGGAGCGAAGCCGTTTGTGCGCCCAGCGATGGGATGCGGACAGGAGACGTCCGCGGCGATGGTATGCACATTTGTGAAGGCGTGCAGGT